AGCGCATACCTACATTATTATCATTCTTCACAAAAACCTCCTCAAACACCATTGCGAAAAGCACAGCCTTGTCAGGATCAGAAGCAGCGGTAACACCACCACCGAACTTGTTCCCGTGTTCAATGATTTTCCTTTCCACTGAGCTATAAAACTTATATAATTTCCTTTCAAATCTACTAGCTTTTACTCTATATGAGGACCAGTCTGCTGATTAATTTGAAGACAAAGCTCTCTTTTATGCCAGTATTTTCTTATGAAAGAGTGTATGAAGGAAAGGCGGAAAGCTCAGCCCCTTGGTAGTGACTTCACGTATGGTCACGTCACGTAAAAATTTGCAATTTTTTTNTTTTTTTATTCCAGAATACTCGAATTCGCTACAATTCGCACAAGCGGTAGGCAAGTTTTTGATAGCTGTCTTACAGCGTCGTGTGGCACAGACAAATGAGGCGATAAAGAGTAGTCTCTATAGAAATCAGCTGTACCAATGACAGAAAGCTTGAAAACCAGAAGCTAACTTTACACACTGGTTTTGTAGCCGCTGCGCAGCTAACTTATTACTTATTTCGCAGTTGAGTTGTCTCTGCGTAGGGAGGAAAGGGTTACTCTTACAGAAGACTTTGACGCAGCTATTGGAGAACCGATGGTCCCGTCGCACTATAAGTTCTTTATTACAGCTCTCATGGCCTCGAACGCTCATATTTGCCTAGTCGGACGGACTTTCTCAAGAATCGAGGAAGTTTACCATAGGATGTTAATAATAAGGGAACTTTACCATACGAAATACATCCCCTGAGAATGGCGAACACCCTAGGTGTACCACTCTCAACTACTTCTTGGACATTTTCCACCCCAGTCTGAAATAAAGGCCTTGTATATTCACTCCTGAACGGAACTTCTTAGTTTTACAAGTTGGATTTTAAGTTGCGGGCGCTATCAATGTCCAGGGCTGACCAGACTAAGCTCTAGAGTGGGCGACTGCTGACTAATTGTAAGACGTGTACGCGATCTCTGGACGACTTGTTGTCGATCCATTACTGTTTGATAGTGAAATGCACATCTTTGCCAGATGAATCATCGAGTAATAAAGTTAAGATAAAAAGTCATATCAAAATCGGTCCTCTTGTGTTTATCAAGAAAGTTAGTCAACCATGTTCAAACGGAAATAGTTAAAATCCTTCATCTGGGTCGCATAGCCTCCGACTTACAATTGGGAAAGGAGAATAAAGTGTGCAGTGCAAGTACACTGGTGTGCAAAACTTAGGGACGAAAGCAACTTTCGATCACTGAACCTCTGGCAGACGACAGAGCTCGATGAAATTTATACCGTACCAATTGAGGATCATTACGGTATTGCACAGGAAGTAACTGGCAGAAAATCGAAATAGGACTAGCAAATAAGGCATTTTTATTGAAAGGTATCGATTACACATAGTTCCTCACAACTTATCTTAGTACTTCAGAAAAAGCGACGCGGTTCCTAATAGGGATGTGACCACCACGGACAGCAGTAAATGCTCTGCAATGCGAGCCCATACTTTCTACGAGGTTGGAAATGATTGTTGTAGGGCATTCCACTCCTCTATCGGCGCAACTGACAATTACTGGATGGTCACTGGTGCGTTTGGACGTGCTGTAATGCCTCTACCCAGTGCATCCTACGCTCCATGGGATTCAGATCGGGGGCA